ATAGAAGTTTGTAATGGTTTTTAAAAGACAAATGATAGGTGAGTCAGATCAGAAAACGATTCCCCTGTATGTGTCATTCAAGTGACATACAAGGTTGCATAACTTGGAGGACTTGTTGTCAAATCCACCTGTAGAAGTCTACGTTCCTCTAGAGGAAAGTTATAATTGTCACTAGTAACACCCTGCTGTGATTGAAGAAGTCAGAGCTTTACATAGTCTGCATCCACATAAGAGTCAATTACATACAGGTTTGCTGACCTATATTAACTTTATATGTTACATTATACTACATTTAAATTACATTCGGCAGAGTTTTGTCTGAACCGTCTTACAGTGCAATAGGTGATCACATTTCATAGCCAGAGTTTCTCACTAACAAACCACAATGCAGGCATTAAACTGTGTTGATTTTTAAAAGTGTCTTGAAATCTAGGAAAAAATCAATCCAAAAAGATTTATTAATTTGCGGTGCAAATGATCTCAATCATTTGTAACCTTTAAAGGTCTCTGTGGTGCATAATCAGCAGTGCTTATGTCCTTTCACTTTCTGTAACTGTCAGCATCTTCTGATCTGGTTACATCGCAAAAGGGCTTTGCTTACCGTCTAATGTCCTCTAGGAACTCTAAAGTTTAAGGTGAAATGAGACATACAATTGGGTAAAACATCTGTAGTGACTAATCTGGTGAGGTAAATACTTTTTTTCTTTTTAAACAATGGATCTTTAGTATAATAAGCTAATTTTATTTCATATGATTCATATAAAACACATTATGAGGCAGGAGATTTAAAGTTAAAGGGTGCATGTTTGGATGACTGGAAAGCAAGACACGTAGCAAAATTGACCATCTAGCGGGGAGCAAATCTAAATGGGCCAGTTATAAACAGCAGCGAAAGTTGACACAGGTGAGCAGGAAGTAAGAGTCAGGTGACTTGGACAGGTAAAAAGGTCTGAGGGCACCAAGTGGATGGATGCAGAATGGCAATAGAGGGTGGAGTGTGGCGGAATCGAGTGGCAAATTGGTGAAAACAGGCCGAAGCAAACCACCAGTACAGCCGAAAGATACACGTATAGGTCCTCCTGTGTGCATCACTGTTCACTAAGCATAACAGCAAAGCAGAAGGCAAATTCAATTGTGAAACGTTGACAGTAAACTACAGATAACACCAGTCACACGTTTGTAAAGTCGTGATTTTTTGAAGGACTGCAAACCAAGGCAAGGTCTACCGATGCAGCGTTCATTGTAAATCGGATGAAGGTGACATGTGACATCAGCCAGAATAATACGCTACCAAGGGTAGCATATTCTTCCTTTATGTACTTATTTAACATCACAGCTCATCATATACTTCCTCAGCTGGCTGTTGATGTACCCCCTCCTACAGCCCTGAAGAGTAGAGACAGTAAGAGTGGCTGTGTACAAAAGCAGCTGACAGAATGCATCCTGGGAGTGTGGTGGCTGCGTGGGCTTGTGCTCTGATGAGATGGACTGCTTGTCTTGTTTCTGCCAGATATTGAAAGATTGTGCCTGCTTGGGTAATAAAGCAATTGAACAGACAAAGGAAAAAATGAAAGTGCAAATGCCATATGGTGTCCTGCTGTCACAAGCAGCTGATTGTACACCAAGTGGTATGGATTCACATTCGGACTCTCCATAAAATCTCAATACCATTACACATTGTTACCATTTAACAGCCTTGTGAAATAACAGTCAAACAATGCTTCTGATTACCAATTTTCTTTTGGCTGATGTAAGCAAAACATTCCCCCAATATATAGGAGTTAAAGTGGCAATAGACAACCTATTTACTTTAAGCCATCATTATAAAGTAGATGCTGATTGTACAGTGTAATAGCTACAGAACAATGACACCATCAGAGTTCAGATTGGTTTCCTATGGGCCTTGCTTTCACTGTGCAATTCTGTCTGCCTCAGAGTTGCATTCTCTGGGAAATAAAAGGTGTCTCGATTTGAGGCACACCAAAGAAGATGATAACAACTAGAGGAAAGTTAACTGTGGAATCACCACAAAAAAAGATCCCTGCTGGCTGGCAGCGAATGCAAAGAAGGGCGAAGAAAGCAGGAAAATCCGCGGCCATCTTGGATACATTTGCCAGAAACAGAACTGTAACATGCATGTTGATACTCTGCACATGGCCATCATCATGAAATGGATTTGGATTTTTGCCAAATTCCAAATTCAGCTTAAATGTATTGTGATGAACACTTGTAGAAAGCAGTGTTTTTTGTTGCTTTGTTAGCTCTGTAACTCCATCTGTACATACTGTATAGTTAAAATTACAAAGTTTAGTTGTTTAATTGCCAAACTCAAGAAAATATCATTTGGTACGTGTCATGCACTGTCCACCCCTTTTCTTTGTTCTTGACAAGAAACCCATCAGTGTCTTGCCTAAAGACACTTCACATCTGCTTCAACCCTGGCTGTCCATGTGAATTATTGTCTCCTTGAACACTCCATAACACAGTGGATTTATTTTCAGACGTGTGATTTCTGGTGAGAAATCATATGTAAGGAGTAGCTGTCTAAAGAGCTGTGAGTTCGCCTTGATTGAATGTTTCAGCCCATTTGTTTTTTTTGGGCCCACAAATGTACTGTTTTTGTTCACACTCACCATTTAAATCAACCTGCTTCACAGCAAGAGCAGAAGCGGTTGTTAAATGTTTTTTTTAAATTCACTGTAAGCTGTCTGTTAAGCTACAAACAGCAAACAGACAGACTAAGCGTTACGGCTCAGAAGCGTCCCAGAAGCGTCTCGGCGCTGGGCTCCGCTCAAAATAGGATTCAAGTCTATTTTTCGACGCGACGCGAGGCGTTGCAGAGGCGCCGGGCAGGAAGTGAAACGGTGACAGCATCCGGCCCATCCCCAAAATAAACAAATTTTGCAGACCCTATCCCTCCGTAGTCTTTCAAGTAGGAGGAGAAATGCCAGCGTTCTCCTCCGGTTTACAGGCACTGTGTAAATTATATATATAGAATAATTATGATGATGAATGCATTTTTTTACCACTAAAATACAGCAGCACATCTTTGATTCATGTCGTTTATAACTGGAATATTACAATTATTATTAACTTTGTCTGTACAAAGTAGCCTGTCCAGGAAATATGCCCAAATCAACAAAAACTGCGAGCCGGCAGGCAAGACGCTCCGCTTCTGAAATGCTTCTGAAACGCGCCCGGTAGGGTATGACGCCGGAGGAGGCCGGACCAAAACCGTGGCGCAGCCGTGACGCGACGCAGCCGTGACGCGACGCAGACGTGACACGACGCAGACGTGACGCGACGCAGACGTGACGCGACGCAGACGTGACGCGACGCAGACGGACCCGGTGGAATCGAGGGGTAAGTGACAAGCTGGTGAAGAAAGTTGAAGAAGTAGCACCTCGTAGATATAATTCCAAAAAGTTGGTGGAGACCAAAACACAGCGAATAGGAGAGTGAATATTGGAACTGAAGATGAAAATTGGCCTTTATCGCTAAATCTGGCACAGTTACACGATAGTCTCAAGTGCTTATTGAATTGATGTCCATTTCCCCTTTCTTTACTAAATAATTACTACATTTTACTCAAGACTATTTCTGCTACAGTACCACTTATCTCAATGACAGTCAACGCAGAATGGAAGGTAGCCATTTAGTACATTTGTACTAGTACTTTTTGCAACAAATGTATGTCCTTGGACAGAGCAAGCCCCTCTTGCGCCTGATCTTTCCATCATAACATAATGCACAATGAGAGAGAACACTTCAGATATTTCTTATTGTTGCCAGTATCCCCTTGACACACACAACACACACACACGCACACACACACACATCTTCCTATTCACCAAATCCGATGCATTGTTAAGACAAAATTAATGAATTACTGTGCATTTGATGTGGCTTCATTCATAGATGATAAACTGTTCAGTAAGTAATTCTGTTTCTAAATGGAATGCAATACTTTGAATACATTCCAATTGTGTGTGCTTTAATTGCTTCCATAAATTGCTTTTTTCCTAGATTTATCCTTGTTCATCATGAAATGAAATGTGCCGTCTAATCAATTAATTATCCTGTGTAATTATTTATTAAAGCTTGATTGCATTTCCTGAGCAAGACTGAAGGAACACACTTATTAACATAGTCTGTCACGCATTTGAGAAGAAATAGTTGTTGGCTATTAAAATACAATAATACCGTGTGTGGAGATTCATTAATTTAAGTTATGCAAATTAAATGTTGACATTTTACTTCACAAACCAGTTCTGTCTGTGTATCCATCTTTATGTAAATCAACATAATACTTTTAACCACACAAATGTTAAAAATATTCATACACAGATTTAAATATTTTGATTTAAAAATGAAAAATGTAATTTTAAGTGTTTATGAAATGATCATAATTTAAATAATAATTATTATAAATGTACAATTCATGCATGGGTGTCTCACCAGCACATCCCCCCCCTAGCTGAAACGCCTCAAATGTACTCGTTTGTTTACTTCCATAACATACGTGACATCACAATGTAAAAAAAGCCAAACTTCCTTTGGCTAACGCTTCCACACATTGTAGATGATAGGCTAAGAGGCGGGACATCTCTTAGCAGTTGACCAATCACAACAGAGACGGCAAGCTAACAAATCAGAGCAGACTGGGCACTGGTTTCAGACAGAGGGTGAAAAGAGGTTCTGCAGTACAGGCAGTATGAGAAAAAGCAAGACCTTTTCGAACATTAAAGCATGGAGACATGTCACAGTAGAGGCAAATTAGCATTAGAGGGCCCCTTTAAGATATATGATAATGTAAATACTAAAAGTAAACCACCTTTTAAAAATAATGGGAGAATCTGGAATTTTAAACATATTGAATTGTATGTAGGTGGGGCCTCTTAGTCACACCTTTAAAAGGACATGGCTTGTTTCTGTAATGACAATCCTTCTGGGCAGGGCGGGAGAACCAGTTATACCTGAAAACACACCTTCATGTGATCTGAGGCTGACACCCTGTTCACCATAAACAGCCTGTGAGTCTCTGTTAGGGTTAAGGTGTTCAGTGCTCTGCTCTAACAAAAGTCTGCTCTACAAAAAAGAAAAGATTCAACCCGACAGAGAGGCGACTCTGAAAGCAAAAGGTAAGGCTCGTTTTCTCTACTCTTAATGGCCGTCTCTCACTTCCTTTCCAAGTCGCTTTCATGGCCGAGGAGGCTGATGGAATTTCATTACTTATGATTGAAAACCAATGGAGTTTTGAAAGCAGAATGAGATGGAAAGGTGCACTCAAAACGCCGGTATACCCTCCAGATGCCAGCAATCTAATTTGCTGTCAGTGGTAATAAATGGGGAGCCATCGGGTGGCACAGATAAGACGTTATTTCACCATCAGGGTTATCACTTAATATCTGATAATGTCTGTGGGGAGCAATTGTATCCGACAGTTAAAACAGGGGGCCTCAACTCCTGGCCCGAGAAATGATCATCAGCGCGGAAGAATTGTTAATCTGTCAAATCAATGTGACTTCACTCAATAAAGTGTTCATAGGGACTTAAGTTTAGGTTGCAGTGTTAATGATTCACTCTTTTGGGAGAGGATTCTACTCTAATGAAAGGGAACAGTTGTGCTTTTCATATGTTCTGCTCTTTATTGCTAAAAAGGACTTTTCATTATGTATATATTGTAAAAGATTCAAGATTTGAAAGAAATCATTTGAAACAATTATTATGGCTAGGTCAAACCTGATAATCTGTGTATCTTTATGTATATAAAGATCATTGTATGTACGTAAAGATACACAGATTCAGTAGGGTGCAGTCTAGTAGAGTTAGAGTGTGTGTTGTTGTATGTTCGATTATACAATGTCCTCTACATTTTAAGGAGGTGTTTACTTCAGGAATGTTACCTGCGTACTTGCCTAGATTCCTAAAAACAAAGTATGATGGAGGTGAAAAAACAATACACCGCCTAGTAAATGCAATGAACAAAGCTTGAGTCATAGCGTTCACTGTTACACTCAGAGCTGCCAAGTCCAAACGAACAGAACAGAAATCACAGCATTATGACATTTTGGACAGTTGTTGTTGTTATTGTAAACAAAGCCTGTTTTGTGAAGCCTGAGAGTGGGAGACGACACATAATATGCTTCACATTATCCCCTGTGAGAGTTCAGCTGTAGTGAAGCTGTGGCACACATACAATAATACATTCCTGCCATTGTCTCCACAGCTCTGATCCATCTGTCCTCACGCTATTGTACTCCACTTGCCTTTTGTTGAAAAAAAGAAAGAAAACTAGCATCATGGGACAATTTGAAGATGCAGACTTGGGGTGGGATGAGAAGAGCCACGACACGAGGCAGACTCAGCCTCCGAAATACGAGGAGACAGAGACTAAAAGCTCCGGGAGGAAGTGTCCCACGTGCTGCCTGAAGACAAAGAACTGTCTGATGAGTGGAGAGTGCGGCAGATGCCTTCAGATCTCCAGCGTCATCGCCATGTGTGGCATGTGCATCCGCATGTTCGTATGTAAGTGTGTCAACCTCACATAAAACCTTTTATAACTGCCATGTCACGATCACAAAATACTCTGATGTCCGAAAAGCTGATTTACTGCTGAAATGAATATGAATCTGTGGTACAAGAAAAATATAACCCTGACAAAAGTTGAATATTTAAAAAGTATAATTTGTCTTTTTATCCATTTCTAAATGTATATTCAATTCTTCCACAGTTGAGATAGTCTTTGCTATTATTCATTATTGTTTTGTCCTTTTGATTTCCAATTACAGGACCAAACCTTGGGCTTCATAACCTGCTTCTCCCGGATCATCATCACTATCACCCTTTATGAGTGATGCCACGTGGTTTTCTTATGATCTGCTAAAAAATTCTTTATCCACAAGGTATTCATTTCACATGATCACTGTCTGTGTTTAGAACAACTTAGAAAGGCATTATGAAGGAATGAATAAGTGGATGAATGAGCATGTTTGATTGATCATTTCTGATGGATCTGTATTTAGTAAAATCAGATGTCTATATTTATATTTTTAGGTACGAAAATTGCAATAAAATATAAAAACTAATATGATGAATAAAATAGTAATAATGTAAAATCAGTATGAAATTAACTTGAGAATATGCAGAGTTATTCTGTTTATGCTACAGTGTAAAACATTTTCTCTTACAATATGAGTGAGAGGGTTTTGGTGAGAAAACAGTGACATATCTGAACAAATGCAAAACTTTGAATAAAGCTTCCAGTAACAACAAGAACAAAAAGTTTTTCATTTCAATGCCAGCAATGATAAAAACCTGCAATTAATTAAAATCCTTTGACGAGCATGATGCAACGACATGACATTCTCTGCTTTCAACGCCCTCGTCTGAGGTCATTTAGAGAAAGTTGCTTGGCACAATAAGCAAGCTACAAAGAATGTATTACAAAAAGAAAATCTGTAATTCACAAGAAAAACATAACATTGCTACTGTATGTGTCTGTTTTCATTATATACATTGAGGGGAAACTGCATCAAAATCCAGAATGACCCAAATCACAGGAGACATTTGTTCCCCCTACATATGAGTGCCAGCAGCGGATCTAAGGTGTCAAGGCTTGTACAGAAGTGTGTGTCTCACAGGCTGTCCGGAGAGGCAGTGCGTGGGTGGACAGCAGGGGATAATGCCATTGTGTGGAGACATATTACAGTACGTGACGGGAAGAGAGTTCTTGTGCCTCGAACCTTGAAAGAAATATGCTGCTCAAATCAGTACAGAGATCTTAGAAGCACATGCTATGGGATCTGAGTTCCTGTTAAAGAATGAGCACACATATCTTTCATATCAGATGCAGGGGAAAGACATCTTTGTCTGACCTTAAAGGGGGGGGGGGGGGGGGGGGAAGAGAAATTCCCCAGGATCTCCCTTTGAATTTGAAGATGCATTGTTGCAACAACATCATTACATACTGTAACTTGATCACATTGGAGGGGAGTTGTGTGTGTACTGCCATGTGGTAAATACTTGTGGATGCTGCTCTTGCTCTTTTTGCATATCATGTATTTATTTTTTGCTATGTTTATAAATGTCATGTTCTTATATGTTGTATGTCAGGGACTACGGATGGAAATTAGCTCAAAGCTCAAATCCGGCATATTTACACTTGAAGCATTATTTGTCTTACTGTAAGTGTTCATTAATGTGCATTGTCCCTTTTCAAATAAACGATTAAATGAAATGAAAAGTGTTTACCTTTGTTGGACGGGCAGACATCTGAATGCTTGTGATGCTTGCCCTAATATACATCGTCTAGCCTGAGTCGTGTTTCCTGAATCCCTACAATGAGGTTTATGGCAAAGCTAGCCCGACTTTTTAATCTGAATGAGCAAAACTATAATAATGTTATCCAGGTTCAAATATACCAGAGTTTTAGTTCAAGTTTCTGTTCATTTGAGACTTATAACTCCTGTTCCTGCCTCTAAATGTTTTTAAAATGCTAACCATGAATGTAGGTTAGGATGTTATGTAAAAGTAGCTAACATTGTAGCAGTAACTGGAACATTGCTATTACGTTTGTAACGCATTGAAATATTTAATGTATATAGCCTGATTATAAATCATTTCCCTGGTACAACTTGTATATAGACTCATACTGCACTATTCCACATCATAACTTTATTTCATTTTTATAACTATTATTATTTTTGTATTGCTCTTGCTCTTATTGTTATTATGTTATGTTATTATGTTGCATTGTTGGAGAAGCCTGTGACATAAGATTTTCAACTGCATAATTACTCTGTAGCTATGTCAGATTGACAATAAAGAACCTTGAACCTTGAACCTTGAACAAAAAAGGTAAAACAAAAAAACGTTGGGTGCAATTCAAAACATGTTCTTGTCTCACTTACGTTTTTGGCTTTGGCAGCTTTGCCTACCCTATAATGTATAATCTTGTCATAGATTAGCTAGCAGGAAAGCAAGTTTGGAAATGTGGGAATAGAAGGATTTCTGGGTTGCCGTCTATGTTCTTTGGAGGCTCCCTGGGGTCGGCGTTGACATTTTGAAAACGACCCATTGGATAGAGCTTGGCTAGAAACTGCGGATTGCTGAATGATAATGCTTTGATTATCCTGTACATGCTTACTTATGCCTTGCATGAAAACCTGAATACTGCTGTAGAGATGATGTATTACAGAACAACAAATCCTTGTTCTGAAGCAGCAGAGCAGCGCCTGATAAAGATTGTTGTATTCATCTGAGCTCAGAGACGCCACTAAAGACCCCAGAACATTAATGTTTGGTAATTTTTAATCTTTGTAGCGTAAGGTTGAGGTTAAAACCCACAGGGACAAGAATTAAGTCTTTGAGCGCTATTGATTTCAGAGACTGATGTATTAGTCTTCTGTCTCCCTCTTTTCCGTTTTCTTTTTCCTGTTCCCTTTCACTGCATTCCTCCCTTCTGTTGCTGCCTCTTGTGTGCCACAGTGTCAGTGTCGGCATCACAATACAGGGGTGACATTTCAAGCAGACAGATTAGGGCCTCTCTCCAATTAATTTTGCTTTCCTTCCCCTGTTAAATACACAATCAACCAAAGGCAAAATGTCAGTGAAACAAACGATGAGCTGCCGTGTGGCTGACAATTACCGCCAAGCACCTCAGAAATGCCAATATGTTAAAGTGGGAGCAGTGTGTGAGATGAATGGGGACAAACGGCAATCTTTGAGGAGCGTTGTTGCAGCACGGAAACAGGCATGTCAGTGGCTACCTGCCTTTGCCATCTGATGTAGTGACAGACAACATGTTGTTGGAAAGGTCAAGCGTTACTTAAAGGGCTTGGAATCAATATCTTACATATCAATTAACGTCTTCGATAACCCACCATATGTGTAATGACCATCGCAGGAAGGGGAGATATGGATGAGACTATTTATTTCTAGATGTGTGAATCTCACAATGGTCCCACAATGTCTTTGGCTGCATCTCAATGTATCGTTCCCTCAATTGTTTATACAACTCTAGCAACTACTTTTCATCCATTACCACAAGCAGTCAGATAAATCTGAACCTTTTGTTTTTGAATTGCTTTTAGAAAATGATAAACAAAAAGCTGCATCCTTTCCATACCAGTAGACCCAGTCCATAAACATTACCAAAATAAATCATAAATCCATCTGCAGGGCATTAATGTGGTAGAATCAACAACAAATAAGGTAGCTCTAATACAGGGCACCTCACTGCATGAGTTAGCATAGCGGCTATTGGATATTTCCAATACTCAAAGCTATTCTACTTTTACTTGGTTTAAGTACCTGCATTTCATAACAACACAACCAGAGAGATGAATTTCAGCCTGCAATGTTTTTTTTTGCTATTTCTTTTGAAAAATAGAGCAGAGAAATGGTAGCCAGAGCAACAAATGAGTGGTCTTCCAAGTGTTTTAATGTTGCACTGTGCTTGGCCTACTTAAAGTGTAGCTCTAAGATCAAAGGAGAGAAGAGAAACAAGCTCGACAGTTACTTATTATTATTCAGGCAACTACGTTACTGCATGCAGAATGATCCACCTATACCAGTAAATCACTTTACAACCTGGAGGTCCAATGCAGAACTGTACAATTCCAGACACTAAAGCCACCAATTTGTCCCTCCAACTTTGAAAAAACCCCAGATGATTCCTAAATGAAGTAAACCAGTGGTTGGTTGTCACATGTTCCCCGAAAATATCTAATTACTGATTACTTCAATGATCACTCTTATTCTCAGGAATGCATTGCAACATCAGTCTCTCAAACTGCTGCACATCAGATAGTAAACACTGTGTTTGAAGGGCAAACACACAGAAAAATGCACACATCATATGCAAATCAGTTCGGCTTGCCAGGTACTAAGTTGCTAAATACAACTATAAAATTGGCCAAAGAGATCAAACTGTGAATATTGAGAGGGAATGAAACGGAATTAAATAGAACTAAATCTACTTCGATAAGAGAAAACCCACACAGAGTTTAACCGGATATTAAGCGGCTCCTGGTGTGCAAATGCTTTAGCCTCCGCCCATGTAGCCATCCATCTGTTGCTTCCGTTTCTCCCACCCCGGACACAAGGTAATAATGCAGGACACCCAGTCAAGCTAGCAGGCTGCTTCCTGTTTGTTGGGGCGGTGAATCGGAAATTCTCCTTGCTCTTCCAAGTCATTTTAATCACCTTCTTTTGCCAAGATGCACAGCCGGCCCTGCCTGTGATTGACTTGGCCAACAGCCAGCCCCAATACAATTTGTGGCATAAATGCTAAATCGATGGGTCATTACACTAATGAAATGACATGACAGAGGGACATGATACTTTGGTGGAATCAAGGTTCTTCATAGCTTCTGGTCACGGCCAGGTGCCAACATTATGAAATGTTTGAGAAATGCTAAGTCGGTGGTATTACTGGAAGTTGATGGTGAAAATGGCATTGATTCAAGCCTGTGGCGGTTTATATGTCTCTAAATGCGTGTGTGTCCCCACATTTGCACACTGAACAGTCAAACCAACCGTTATTGGACAGATTCCTGGACCACCTTACCATGAAAGCCCACATTAACATCTGATTTCACAGTTGAGAAATACCAAATCACTGACTAGGTCCAGCTCTCAGGGAAAGAATAATGATTATTTGATATAAAAGATCATTTTATGGGTATTTCAACTGAGTAAAAGCAGCCTGTGGCATCTTGGAAGTACACTCTGCCCGCCCATTTTAAGATGTCCAGATTCCTAGTTCCTCCGACAATTCAAATCTTTACAGGAACCTTGAAGACTCTCTCAAACTCTGACTGGGTTTTTTTTTCTTTTACCTTGAATTTGTTTTCATCTATACTTTTTTTACTGCCTCCATGAAGATGACAGGGGGGGGAAAGTGATAGAATTGTTGGGATATGCACTGTTTGTGTGCTGCTCCAGTGTGTTGTTGAGAGTATGCGAGACGGAGAGGTGAGAGAGTGAATGAGACAGAAAGAGATGAGATTTGTGATCTCATCTGTTCACCCGGAGCCTCTCACCAGAGAGGCCTTTTACCGTCGTCAATCATCACCATGGAGACATCTTTAAACTCGGATGGATTAGAAGCTCTGATGCATTTCAAACATGCCCGTTGTACACACTTAGAGATTGTGGATGGGGGCCACTCAACTTGTGCTGAGCTACGGTCCCAAAGAACACTTGAGATTTTTGTTCAAGCAACAGGTAATGCTAGTGGAAAAATAAGTATTCAGAAATGCTTCTTTGGTAAAAGCATCAAAGCAAAGATAGAAATACTCTGTTACAGGATAAAGTAATGCGTTCAGAATTGTAAAACTACTTAGTATGAAAGTA